AAAATCTGTCTGAGCTGTGATTTGTTTGCCCTTATAATTGATGTGTTTGTGTAATTTGTTACACAAAATAGTAAATAATGTGAGTTTGGTACATTTTAATACAGTTTAGATAGTCCTGATTGTAGAATCACACCATGAACTAAAGCTGAAGCAGCCAAAGAAGAACAGATGCAAGTTGCATCCATGACAAAATCGTCCTTATTTTTGATTTTCACTATTTAAGTATCTTCAGCTCAACTGTAGACAATATCATATTTAGATAAGCATCTTATCTGGATAAAAAAAACACTGAAGTGCACAAAACAATACATTAGCTCCAGCCATTTTTGTTTGTATGTTGACTCGAATGATGATGATGGTGATGATGATGATGATGATGATGATGATGCAGATGATGACGCAATAGTACAGACACTTGATGTTGCTGAAGTTAATCCCTGTACCGCCAAATGCCTTCTTCCTGTTAATGGACATAAATTCTGAAGAATTCATCATGCTCTTTTTTTCCCAGACACTGGGAAAAGAAATTTGTCTGCACAAATACTCAGAGTGTTTTAAATCCTTATTAATGAAATGCATAAAAGCATCTGGTGTCTCTGAAACATTTTAAATCTGTTATTCAAGAACTGAAGGATTAATGAATGAGTTGTAAATGCTGTGCGTTGCACATTGATTTTAACTTTATTTGATTTTGATTTTGCCTGCCTGCTTTGCTGAAAACATTGGTGTATGTGTAAAAATGATTTAGATCCAGTATTTGCTGCTGATTTTCACAAATAGTAGAAAAAAATAAATAAACAACACTCTGAATAAGTTTTTAAAAAGCTGAAATGTTTTATATTTGTTTTATTACAATTACTTTACAGTGCAGGACATTATCTGAGGTTATCTGGTTATAATAATAATAATAATAATAATAATAATAATAATAATAATAATAATAATAATAATAATAATAAAATGCAACCAGGTAACTACATTTAAATATTTAGAAGTAAAGGCTAAAAGGTCACAGTTGGCTTTATTTATAATTTCCCTCTTTTTTAAAAATTTGTGAATAAATAAAAATGTTTTTAAAGTGCAATTTTTACAGTTTTACATGTTTTTATAAAAAGAATATATGGTTAATAAAAAATGATAATATTAATAAGCAATGTTGACGAG